CCCCACTCTCCAGAGGATACTCCTGCACACAGGCCTGGAGCTCCTCAGGCAGGATGGTCAGGAACTGCTCCAGCACCAGCAGCTCCAGGATCTGCTCCTTGGTGTGGGTCTCTGGCCTCAGCCATCGATGGCAAAGTTCCCGGAGTCGGGCCAGAGCCTCTCGGGGCCCGGTGACCTCCTGGTAGCAGAACTGCCGGAAGCGCAGGCGGCACAGCTCCAAAGTATGGGAGCTGCACCTCTGTTCCCATGTGGGATCTTCCTCCTTCACTTTCACAAGGCTGTCTCCATCTTCAGGGGTGGGGCGTGGCAAAGCTTCATCCATGCTGAGCTTAAAGGCTGAAAAAAGGTTCACTTCACTGGGGTCTATGCAAAGAAATGTTTTTCCAAATGTGTCTGAGGCATAAGAATTGATCAGTAACCCAAAAATTATAAGAGCTTCAAAACTGTGTGTAATATACTTATATTTTTGTCCCCACTCTAAGTCATGCTCAAAAACTGAGCCTGCTTGCCTTATTATCAGTGAAATTAATCAGAAGAATATCTTGAATCCTAAGTGAGTTGAGCTCAGAGGTGAGGGATGCAACAAGGTAAGGGATATGCGGGAAGAAGGGTTAACAAGAATCTTGAGCAGCTTACACTTCACATGAAGGGAAGGGATTTTATCCATGGAAGAGCCAGATGGCTGCCTTCGTGGACAGATTAACATACTCTTAAAGGTCATCTATCTCTGCATTTTTCTCACAGAATATTTCACCTTAAAGCTACGTAGGTGAGGTAGACTGTTTCCAAATTCTCCATCCCCTAAAACCTGTTGTAATGAGATTTTTGTCCCTCTTCTCATCAAGAGGTGGAGTCTGTTTTTACTTCTCTTGAATCTGTGCCAGCCTATGAGTTGCTATGACCAATAGAACACGGCAGAAATAAGATTGAAAGAAGAAGTGCCTTCAAGAAACCATACCTTCAAGAAAGCCACAGTCTTTCCAAATGCCTCATGTTACTGCCATGCTGATACTCAAATTTGTTCCACCCACCTTGTACTTTACGGCCAGGACCAGTCTTCTTAACAGTAAATTCCCAAGGCCCAGTGCAAATGTCACCCCCAAACCTCATGTACAGACAATCTTCTGTCCTCTGAGCCACTCGTAGAGGGTGTTCCCATGGAAGTGAGCCCCAGCTGAGAAGCTGGGACCTGGGACCCTGTGCTGCAGTGTTTGCACCTGGACAAACATCCCCTGGAGCCACAGAATACATAAAACTATAAGGGACTAAAAGTAACTGCATGCATTCGCAGTTGGGGCAAGTCATGAATAAGAAGATACAAAAGACCCAAAACCCCACTGCTGTTTCTGAGGTGTCAGGAGCAAAAGCAGGGTACTGCGCATTACCCCCGCACGCAGCCCCTCCAAGGGGCTGGGCAGAGCACCTAAGCCACCCCTACGGCAGGACCTCTGGACCCGCCCCTTCCCTCATCCCATTTAAGGGACCAGCTGCCACCACTCAAGGAAGGAGCAAGGGAGCCTGCTACTTGTTTTCACCAATAAAGCCTTGCCTAAATTTCTCATCTGGCCCCTTATCAATTTCTATTGATAAAGGAGTCCAAGAACCCTGGTCAGTAACAAAACCTGCCTCACCAACCTGCCTCCCTCTCCATCCCGCATTACGGATCACACTCCCAATCACCACCACCGCCACCACCCCAGCCCCTGGAAGACTGTGGTTTATGTTTGAATAAATAACCTCAGAGTCCCTGGTATTCAACAAATACTGGCCGACTTACGAATGCACGCAGGCGTCCTGGGAACCTCTGGCGGTCCCAGACATATCTTACTGAGATGACACTCCAGCACCTAGCGCTTGGCATACAGTGGGCACTCGGTAAGTGTGTGTCTAATTGACAGCTAATGGACCCCAAGTTCAAGGAACATGCACAACAAAGACGCGACTGACCTGGCGAAAAGCCCCACTGGAGGGCGGAGGCCCGGCTCTCCGCAGTGGCAAGAAGAGAGACAGCCCGCCCCCGGGCCCCCACACCTCCCTCCTGGCCGGCGGATCGCGCCTGCGCTTCCTGCCCTGGATACCTGGGGGCCCAGGGCTTCCCCTCGCGTTGCGCCCGCAGCCCAGTCCTGGCGGCAGCCAGCCGGCTCCGTGCCTCTCTAGGAAGGCGGCCGCTCGTCTCTCTGGTGCGCCAGGCGGATCCCCACCGCCTCCGACCGCCAACCCTGCCCTTTCTCAGCGCGCGAACCCAGCCTGACCCTCATTCATGTAATCATTTAAATTAAAAACCTGAAGATTGTCATTCTAAGTGAAGTTAGGCCAGAAAGATAAAGAAAAATATCATATGATACCACTTATATGTGAAATCTAAAAAAAAGGCAAATGAACTTATTTACAAACAGAAACAGACTCACATAGAAAACAAACCTATGGTTATTACCAAGGGAGTAAGGGGTGGGGAGGGATAAATTGGAAATTGAGATTTGCAGATACTAACTACTATATATAAAAGATAAACAACAAGTTTATACTGTATGGCACTGAAACATGCTGTACACCAGAAATTGACACATTGTAAACTGACTATAATTCAATTTAAAAAAATCAACTAGATAAAACTGAATTTCTGTCTTTAAGATCTTCATACGCTGCGGGGGGGAATGAATAAACATTACAACACAGCAAGCAGCACAAATTAATTTTGAAAATTTAAATATATAGATTATATATGTACAATAAAAACTCAAGTTGCATATTTGCATACAGACTATGAAACGAAAAGTGTCCCACTCTCCAGAGTTAACCATTGTTAATATTTTGTGTGTATCTTCCCAGGACACTACCAGCCACATAATAATAGTCAATGAACATTTGTTTAGTATGTATTTTAAACCACCTCTGGCATCACAATATAATTGGGGGGAGCAATTAGATGTATTTATTTCAATGGAGGTACCAGGGATTGAACCCAGGACCTCATGCATGCTAAGCATGCACTCTACCACTGAACTATACCCTCCCCACCTCACAATATAATTTTGCACCTTATCTTTTTCAGCTAAGATAGTTTGGAGATCTTTCCATATCAGTTTATTTTTTAACAGTTAGTATTCCATTGCATAGGTTAATTTACTTAACTATCCCCACTATTTTTCTTTATAAGTAATGTTGTAGAAAACACCACTGAATACCTTTACATGCCTTTATGGGTATATTTTTGGGTAACCACTACACATTGGAATTAATTTGTCAAAGGCATATGCATTTAAATTTTGGTATACAGCTCTCCTACTCAATTCTGAAGGGCACTGCTGTTTAAGAGTAAAAGGAGAGTACACCAGAAATTGACACATTGTAACTCACTGTACTTCAATTAAAAAAAAAAGAGTAAAAGGAGAATCTAATAGAAAAATTCGGCAAAGGTGAACATGGGAGTTCAAAATCAGAACTAATGTTTAATCAAAATAAACATGTTAATTAACAACCAATTAACATGTGAAAAGATTTTCAATTTTGACAGCAAAAATATTCTTTAAAAACTCTTTAAAAAAGAGACCCAAACAAATATGGCTCACCAGTAGAAGATATTGTTGCAATATAGTTCAGCCTTCCTGGGTTTCTGCCTTCTGAATAGATTTTTGCCTTTTAGGGTGTCTAAGATGTCTTACACTGCAAGCAAACTCCCAATCGAGATCTGTTATAACAACTGCCCTTTGTTCAGCGTTCCTATAATTTTCAAGAATAAGGAAAATGTGTTATTTAAATATATCTCTATTCAACATTTATGCCCAGGTGGTTATGGGTCTGCCCCCAGGGCACAGATGAGAACACCATTTCCTTTGGAATTGTAAAGAGTTAGGTTAAGGTGTCAATAAACTTAGAATGCTTGTAATACCTGTACTATGGAATCATGATGAAAAGAGAAAGCAGAGATAAATTTTCCCGCTATTTAAGGGTATATAATTCTTCATACTTTGAATCTTTTACTCATCATTGCTTTTTAATGAGAATAATAAAGATGTTCTTTCCTTAAACTGAACAGAATCAAATAGATTTTAAACTATGACACGGAGCTAATTGTTTAGGTACTGACTTCAGCACATCCCTCAAAACTCAGAAAAATCTGTTATCAACTTAATTTTACTCATAAAGGCAAAAAAAAGATACATACCTTTATGGCTTCCTAAGCAATGGAATATGACTGACTTTCCACAAAATCCCTTAATTTCTCAAAAAATTACAGCTGCTTCTCCTGCAGATTTGGTCCTCCTCCAGGAAATGGTATTAACTGTTGCTTCTGGTCAGCTTGCACCCAGTCAGATCAGAATGGGAAGTGGGTCAAAGACTCCTAAGTGCCTATTTCGGCCTTCATTCTCCCCTTTATTCTTAGTGACAGAAGCCTGAGTTTCAGCTGGGCACTCTGCAACCCAGACTAAGACCCACTTTCCAGTTCCCTTTCCCTAAGTTTTGGCCTATGATATATGTGCTGAAATGATTTATGGGAAGGCTGCTCAAAGGGAGCTGACTGACCCAGAAGAGTTTATTTTGGTCCTTCTGCCTTTTGTCCACATTTTGATGTGATGGCTGGAGCTTCAGCAGCCATGGAGGATCATATGATGACCTTAAGGACTGATGGAATGCCCTAGCATGGTGGAGCAGAAAGTCAGAGGCTGGGGTCCCTGGTAATATCATGGAACCATCTTACCAGTTCCAGACTGCTTGTCTCTGGCCTTCTCTATCTGACAGAAAGACTTCTAAGTCATTCTCACTTTTGTTTGTTTTTAAACTATATGCAGCTGAACCAAAACCTTAGCAAAACATGAGGACTCACGAGTCTTCTCATGATAGACTGAGAAGTCTTTTCCAGACAGCAGTACTCCAAGCAGTTACTACCAATCAGCAAGTAATGTTTATCACCCTGGTGATGTATTCAGAAGTAGGCTCACCTAAGCTTAATAATCTTCATCATTCTCATGACATTTTGGCATTCAGTGTGAAGATCATTATTTCCTCCAAGCTAACTTTACTACTCGACTTTCAAAATTCCAGAATAAGCAGCATTTTAAAATTACATCATCAGTATTAAAGGAAGAAAAGTCCAAACTCTTGCCCCAGGCATTTACTGAATAGTGTCTATGCAGCAGCCACTATACTAACACTGGATATATCAAGTAAGGCAGTCGCTGCTTGGATTAATTCAGCCCAGTTCATTCAAATGACTTATGAAATCTCTTCTATAGTCTAAAGAAAAATCTTAATTTCTAACTTGGATCAATGAGGTATTATGGCAGGGATAGGGCTGGGAAATGGTAAAATTAGATTATCTTTGCTTTCCAAAATGCTTCTACTGATTGGGGATGGGAAAGGTGGGGATAATGGTGGGGGTGGGGGGTGGTTAGTAAAGCCAGCGGGGGAGAATGTTCACCATTTACCTGTACTTTAAGACATCTCTGAGTGTGATGTATTTCCAAACATCATTAGTTTTGCTGTGTAGGAGTCTGTAGCAAATGTAAAATTATCAACCTGCCCTTCTGATTAAGCCTGTAAATCTGTGGACACTTGATGTGCCGCTGACTAAAAATCCCTCACTCCATCATGAGGCTCTCTACGACTTGGAGATGCGTGACTATGCATTTACCATGTTAAAGGCTCTGAGAAGTCCTGCAGTAAAGACTGTTGTTTACCTTTGACCCCACAGTCACCATCTGGGGTCAAATTATTGTGATCCAAAGCTGACTAAAAGGAAAACAAAGGAGGGAGAATGGAGGTAGATAGCCTCCAACTTGGCCCCAAGAATCCTCTGCCAGAGCTGGCTACAGTGACTTTTCCTGAAGTTCTGCTTGCTTGCAAATGTACTGTCTCTGGTATTTCATAAGGAGAGGACACCTCATGAAGCCAGTTTGTCTTTGTGGTGATATCTCTGATGTTGAAAAAGACCTGACCTCTGCCTGAAGGCTTCTCCACACTCATTACATTCGTAGGGTTTTTCCTCATTGTGGATTCTCACATGCTGAGCGAGGTGTGAGTTTAGTCGGAAGGCTTTCTGGCATATAGTACACTTGAAAGGTTTTTCTCCAGTGTGAATCCTGTGGTGCCGAATAAGGTCTGAGGTCAGACTGAAGGCTTTCCCACACTCATTACACTGATGGCTTTTGGAGTGGCTGTGGATTCTCTGATGGTGGGTGAGGAGAAGGGCCTGACTAAAGGTCTTTCCACACTCTTTGCACTCACAGGGCTCCTCCTGACTGTGGATTCTCTGGTGTCGATTAAGGTGAGAGCTGCGCCGAAAGTTCTTTCCACAGTGGATGCACAGATAAGGTTTCTCTCCAGTGTGGATTCTGAGATGTTCCAAAAGGCCTGCATTCTGGCTAAAGACTTTTCCACACTCCTTGCACTGATAAGGCTTCTCACCAAGATGGATTTTCTGATGTCTGATAAGGTGTGAACTTCTCTGAAAGGCTTTCCCACACTCGTGACACTGATGACCTTTCTCTCTGGAGCGGACTTTCTGATGTCCAGTAAGACTAGAACTCTGACACACCTCAGATGCACAGAGTTCTTCTCCTGTGTGCGAACCTTCATGCTTAATCAGATCTGAGTGCTGGATGAACCCCTCCCCACATTCTGAGCACTTATAGTCAGTCTTCTCTTTGGGCTGGGCTAGCTGCCTATCCAAGTTAGAGTCCCTGTAATGAGCCTCTATGGGTTCAGATATTTTCTCAGATGATTCCACTCTTCCACGGGAGTCTGTCTCTACAACCAGCTTCTCATTCTCAATCCTGGTCTCCTCACCTGGAACATTAAATACACACCACCAATTACTTGCTTTTTGGTGCTCAGGGAAAGAAATCTGCAATTAGGAGGAAAAAATTTCAATTAAGCCACGTGTGCAAAATGGAAATGTCATGGATTCTTGTATTTGCATAGAACATATGTGGAATGATACATAAGAAGTTGTTAATAATGGCTGTCTTCAGGAGATTGTGGTGGAAGATGACTTATCTTAAATGGTTTGAAGTTTATCATGTGATACACTCATATATACACACATACATACACATACACAGAAGTCAGCAAGCAAGCAAACTGTCATCAAGAGCATGGCTGTATGTTCTTTATAATGGCCTGTCACATGGAAAATAAAAAAGCTATGCCAATTGAGAAAGGGATAGCACTAGAAATGAAAAAATGAATTGGCAATAACATGTAGACATGGTGCCAATTTTATCATTGATTAGCTATATAATCTTCAGTAATTTAAATCCTCTGGGCTTAGTGTCCTCACCAAGAAATCAAAAACATTGGACCCCAAGACCTTGAAGGTAACACGAAGTCCACAAAAATGTCTTAGCCTTTCCAGATCTCCTTGGACACAGTAACTGCTTTCCTGTGTGGTTCAATGAAGCTGTTACATCTCAGTGCTGTAGTAAGTTGCTCTAATGCCTGGCACATAAGAAACAGTAAACAATGTTTGCTGAATAAAACCTTAGCTCAGACACACAGGCAGAAGAGGGTGGGGGAACAGCAGATTTTAAGGCCAGGAGCACGAATGGGGATGCAAAGTCAGAATGAGAGAGTAAGAGGGGAGGTGGATGGAGAAAACAGAAGAGTGAGAGCCTAAGCAGCACTAACAACAAATGAGGGTTACAC